GATTGCAGTATTTATATTTAAAACGTCTATAGGCAATAGCAATAAAGACATTCTAGACATGTATACAATAACATAAAATAACTTGCATTATGAATGCTTAGCATTTTTAGCGTATTATGGTGTGTACACTATATGTTGTTATGAGGCTCCGGTAGGTCTCTGAAAAGTTTTTCTTGTTACGATTGCAACTTAAACATGTAATTTAAGTCAATATTCTTTAAAAGTTAATTCTTATCAATAAAATGTCCCATTGATGTTGCAAGAATGTTGTTAAACCGAAATTTAAAAAAAGATTCATTATTATTTTATCTTAAATATTATCAAAAATTCTGTTGTTACTAACAATATATCAAAACTTTTATACAAACAACTTTATGTTTTGTCTCGTGATTCTATTTTATTTTATCATTGGGTAATTTCTTAAATCCATGAAATATTTCATTTAAACAAAGTTAAAAAATGTTATAAGAAAAAAAGTTATAAAATATTGAAGCTACTCTTTAAATTTCAGATGACCAGGTAATTTTATTTTGAAATTAGAATTAATATGAAAATATTTGAATAAAATACGAGACTAGGAGCTCTGTTATTGTCTGTAAACTCCAGTGTCTTTTTTTTCATCGTTTTCTATTGTATTACATTAACAATAGTTATACAATAGAAAACAATAGTTTTCTTACTGTTTGAAAAAAAAACAATTTTTAGCAAAATCTGACATCCATTTGTCATGCTTAATTATGTTATATGTTTATTTTATAAATCACTGTAAAATAATGCTGTAAAATAAATTCGATAAAGTGAAAACTAAAAAAAAAATCACTGTATACAATTTAATAATAATTATATTAAAAAAAGCTAAAAAGAATGAGAACTATAATTTTATATCTTTTTCAAAAAATACAGGTTTATTGACATAACCTAATAATATATTTTTATATTTATTTGCTGTGGTTTGTTATAATGATAAAAATCATTAATTTTTAGTTTTCTGAATCCTCTTTAAATGTAAAGATCTCGAAACATTAAATACTAGTGGATTACTTGGCAGCGATTATAAAAGATATTGTTGTAAAAAATTCTTTCGTGGAAGGTTGTTTATTTGAACTTGAAATATGTTATGGTACAAAGTTTTCTTTGTTGTTTTCATTTAAATATTTTTCGTTGAAAAAGTCTAAACGAGAGCTTCTAGTTTTAAATTAGACGTATCGACGTCACAAATCCATTGGTTCTTAGATCGTCATCATTAAAGGTAAAATTATTTTGTATTATAAATCATAAAAACTTATAAGCCCATTAGACAAATATAAAATTTATTTTATTAGGAAATAGCATTTGTCTTGATGCAAATGTCACATCATGTGGATAATAAGACAAAAGTTTCATAACCGGCAAATTCAGGACCTGATTACAAAATATGAACTGAAATCAAAAGCGAAAAATTTAAAAACAATGAAAAATATGCTCCTCCTATTTTAGAGATAAATTAATATGAATTATAAAGCTAATTTAACTTAATTGATTTTTATATATTTATTCACTAAATAAAAAACATTGTTTTTACAATTTAGTTTTGAACTAAACTGTTTCCTATTTTTGTTATGTTTTGTCTTCTTATTTATTATAAAGAGAA